TCGGACAGTGTAAGATATGACAAAATAATAATAATTTATAAAATCTCAAGGGTTCATGAGGGATGTGGGAACGGATAGGGAGGTGGGGGAATGAGCTGATACCAAGGGCTCAAGTAGAAAGCAAATGTTTTGAGAATGAGGGCAACAAATGTACAAATGTGCTTGACATACAATGGATGGATGTATAGATTGTGATAAGAGTTGTATGAGCCCCCGATAAAATGATTTAAAGAAAAGAAAAAAAAAATACCTCAGACACTGTATCTTTTAATAGCCGGGTACCATCTGCTCTCTACACATTTGCTTATGCACCCATTTTGTCTTTAGCAATTGTGTAGGGAAGGTGAGTATCAAAGAGTGCCAGGTTATTAGAACAAAGTGCTTGTGTTAAGGGAGAACCTTGAGTTGAGACCCAAAGTCCGTCTGCTAGCTTAATACTTAACATATAAAATATATGTACATTGACCTCTATCCCTTTCATTAGAAATTAATATATTTACATATATACATGCCAATAGCTTTACCTCTATAAATAGCTTTTGCCTTCTATTTCCTCTATTTCCTTTTTTTTTTCAGTTCCTAATGTAACTATAATCCTTTTTTTTTTTAATCCTCTATTTCCTTTCACCTTCCTCCTAGCCCACTATCATGCTCACCCTCCATTCAGTTCTCAGTAATTACTCTCAGAGTAATTACATTGCACTTGATTGAACCTCATCAGGCATTATACGCCCTCCTTGCCATCAGTTTTACATCTCTTGCTCCCTTATCCCTGAGTTTGTAGGCTATCCACTTCCTGTCCCTCCTCTCTCATGTCCCCCTGGAACCTCCAGTCCCGTTGTTGTCTCCTCAGGATTGTTCGTCCTGCCTCTCTTATATAGATAGATATCATTGGGAAAAAGGAAAAGAAAAAACAAACAAAATAAGAAAAAAAAAACCCTAGGTAGTTCCAGGTCTGTCTGCTGACCCTTACGTATGTTTTCTGATCAAGACTGATGAGGTGCCAAGCCCAGTCCCCCCATTTAGAAGTCTATTTTCAGGATTCCTCGGGGACTTGGTTACTTTGCTGCCCTGTTGCACTCCCTTTGGATTTCACCCCGCTGTGCGTGGGGCAGACCGGGCACACTTTCTGCACAGTGTCTCCAGTGCTGGCCCCGTAGCACAATGGGTCAGTGAGGGAACGTTGTACCTTGTGATGCGGCCAGTGCATGGTCCTCTGTGCATTGGCTGCTCCATGACAGGATTTCGACCCCAGGGCTTGGTGGGCCACAATGAGGTCCACTTTACCACTTTTCTGTTACTCATTTTAGTGGCAAATATTTATACTTTTTTACCCTTATATACCCTTTTAGCCTTATATCCCATGATTTATTATTCCATCTCTTGTGTACTCATCCTGCTTGCTAATTATTCTCATTAAGTATACCAACCTGTAGTATAGGGTGGGAGGAGCCAGCCCCCCACCATTAGTCTCAGGTTCAGTAAGCACAATTATATGGTTGAGATTTATAAGTATTAAAGTCATCGAGAGCATGAGCTATAGAAGAGATATTACAATAATGAAGTCAGACATATTACATGGTAGCATTGCTCACATCAGCCCCACTTGGTGGTCCACGTGTAGGGGAAGGGAAGGAGGACGGGAAAGGGAACCAAGGGAGAGAGGAGAGGACAGGGGGAAGAGAGAGCAGCCAGAGGGACCAGGGGGAGAGACCTCTATTGCTAACCCAGGCCTATATGCCTTTTGGGGGCATGCAAGCCCACTAATTACAGGTAAAGTCATACGTCACAGGAAGGGGTTGCACTATAGGTTATACAGCAATGAGAGGGGGTGGTCTAGGGACATACACGCAATAGGAAGAGGAGGAATTGGGGGGGTATACATGTGACAAGATGGGCGGATCCTAGATTTAGGATGGCAGCCTAACTTTGACCTGTTCCCTGGGTCTCCATAGGAACCATTATGAGTAGGGTGTAAACCCCACCTACAGGAACCAAATAGATGACTGCAACCTTGTCCATTGCCTTTAACAGCAGGGAGCGGGGCCCACTGCAGTCTGGCAACTGACCCCACCCCCTGGGGGGTGGCGGGGTGCCTGCAAGCATCTGACCTCCCCCTATACCAACCCACTGCCATCTAGTCGATTTTGATTCACAGCCACCAAATAGGACAGAATAGAACTCCTGCTTAAGTTTTCCAAGGTTTACCCACTATGCCACAAGAGGGTCCTTATTAGAAATTAGGACCCATCAAAACTCCTTGGTTTTCACCGAGAAAACAATGTTCAATAACTTGATTTTTTTTAAATAACTTGATTTTAATACCGATAATAGTGGAATCCTTAAAGTTTTGTGTGAATTTGAATTACCACCTGTATTAGTCTAGGTACTTTAGAGAAACAAATCCACAACAACTCATGTATAAG